CCGAGCGACCGAACGGCTGCGGGCGGGCCTGGGGCGGCCAGTGCAGCCGACGGACAAGCGAAAACAAACAAAAACAAACAAAACCCATGCATTTGGCCAGCCGAGGGGCCGAGCGACCGAAAGGCCGCGGGCGGGCCTGGGGCGACCAGTGCAGCCGACGGACAAGCGAAAACAAACAGAAACAAACAAAACCAACGCATTTGGCCAGCCGAAGGGCCGAGCGACCGAAAGGCTGCCACTGCGATCGACGGACAATCGAAAACAAGCCAGAACAACCGAAACCAGCCAAGGAATGGGGCCATCCGAGGAGCCAAGCGACCTAGCGCTACTGCGCGCCGCTGAGACAGGGCCCGGAAATTTGCAATCTACTTCTTGTAATTGTTGTTGCTGTTGTTTTTTTGGGCGGCCCCGAATGCAATCTACTTCTTCCGCCTTCCTACTTCATGTTTCTACCTACTTCTTCCGACTGGTGGGTATATATATGTTCATAACTGTACGTCATTCCCTCCTCATCCTCCTCCCTCATCTTCCTCATATATACTTAGTATGTGATTTCCGCCTTCGGCGTGATAGGAATTTCGACATGCTACTATCACTTGCGACGCAGCCTGGACCTTAGATTGTTCTGTACATCCCTTTCTCGATGTGATTGTTGCTGTAGCTGGCCTGATCATGTTATTGGCCCGATGGATCGTGGGAGATGCACATACAGTGCTATTGCCCCTTTTCCGCTGTTACCCCTTCTCCTCCTCCTCCTCCTCCTCCTCCTCCTCCTCCTCCTCCTTCATCTTCCTCTTTCCAATGGTTCGACATTGGAGGTGTCGCATTTCGTTTCACCTTGATTCTGGTGTTTCAGCGGAACTGCCCGGTCTCATCTGTGTCCTCGTGGTCTCCCTTTCCTCCCCCCCCCTCCTCATGGATGATTGGTTGGGGCAGCAGTGTTCTTGCACCGCAGGGCGGTCCAATAAAAGATGCCCGCACTGATTTCTTAGTTTTCCTTACGCTTGCGGACCCATCGAGATCCTGAACCCGCGCTGCGGTTCCAGACGATCTCGTGCTGCGCCGACGTGGCGAGACAGGTGCGACGCCGTACGTCTGGGCGTACGCCCGAGATGGTGAGGATGTGCGTCGCCACGTGGCCCCCCCCCTGGATCGATGCTCATCAGGACGTGTGTTAGCCCAACGTGTGTTTACAGTCGGCCCAGATTTGTAGGTCGACCCTGCCAAATCAAGAGCACCCTTGTGTCCTGTGCCTCGCGACCCATGCCTCCTACATTCCTGTGGCAGTGTGGCCCTCGGAAGGGTCTTGTGCACTCTCGCGTGTCCTGTCCAGTCAAGTCCGGCTGTACCCCCGGCGGACCGGCGCCGCCCCTGTGGCGCGCTCCGCGCGCCGGGCACGGGGGGTCCAGCGCCGATCCAAGAAGTCGGAGCGGGCCTCCCAGCAGTTGTGTGTTATGCATGCTCTCGCTCTTCGGCACGTGGACCCTGTAATAGCCGAGAAGTGCCCCCCCCAGCTCCCCCCCCAGCGACCAGCCCCCAGCCCAGCCAGCGCCCCCCAGCCAGCCTTCCACCCCCAGACCCCCCCCCCCCCCATCCTCCTCCTCCTCCCTCCTCGTCGTCGTCGTCCTCCTCCTCCTCCTCCTCCTCCTCTTCTTCCCCCTCCTCATTCGCGTGTTTATTTCCCTAAACGATGTGCTCTTCACAAGTTGCCATCGGGGTCAGACTTTGGGTGCCTGTGCGGATAGCTAAGCCCCAGTTCTGCCCTCCCCCCTTCCTCAAGAGCGCGGGCTCCTCGTCATTATTCGCCCCTTCTCCTTGGCCGGTTTCCTGGGGTGTGTCATGGCGAAGGAGCAGAGAAAAGGAAGGGAGGGGGGTTAAAGGAGGGAGGAGAAACGAAGGAGGAGGCTCGAGGGAGAAGGAGGAGCGGCAAACAATCATGATTATGAAGGGGAGAGATAAGAGGACACGCGAGGAGGGGTGAGTGTGATCAACAGGAGGAAGAGGTAAGTGGAAGGAAGGAGGAGGGTGACTGGCCAAGGACAATGCATATTCCGCAATTTGTCCGCCCCGATCTGCCCACTGCTTCCTCGCGATCGCGACCTCGTTCCCGTTGTGCCCGCCGAGGCTGGGTGCTGGACGACTTCCCCTCGACGGAGGCGCAGGCCAGCTCTCTTGCGTCTCACCCTGCTCCTCCCCAGTTCGCCCTTCCCCCCTCCCCTTCTCCTCCTGCCCCTGCCCCTCCTCCCCTCCCCGCCCTCGGCCTCCCCACCCCCCCACCTTCCCGCCCCTTGTGCTGCTTCCCCCCTTGTCCCCCTTCCCTGCCTACCGTTCTCATCCCGTTCCTCCTCCTCCTCCTCCTCCTCCTCCTCCTCCTCCTCCCTCTCCTCATCCTCCTCCTCCTCCTCCTCCTCCTCCCCTCCTCCTCCTCCTCCTCCTCCTCTCCTCCTCCTCCTCCTCCTCCTCCTCCTCCTCCTCCTTCTCCTCCTCCTCCTCCTCCTCCTCCTCCTCCTCCTCCTCCTCTTCCCCCTGTCTTCCGCTCGTGACCCTTCCAGTCGTTTTCCCTCCCCTCCTCCTCTTCCTTTGGCTGCTTCTGCCCTCTTCCTCCTCCGCCCTCAACCTCCTACCCGTCCTCCTCCCTCTTGTCTCTGAGCCTCCGCCTCGTCCTCCTCCTCCTCCTCCTTCCTCCTTCTCCATCGCCTTCTCTGCTGCTGCTGCCCCTCATCCTTCTTTACCCCTCCCCCTCCATCTTCCACTTCCTCCCCAGACCCCCGACGTCATGATTTCGTCAAGACGCGACCCCGAGAGGTCCGGACCCACTCCCCAGGACCGCTTCTTCCTCCCGACTCGTCTCCTGACGGCCCCGAGGCCCGGTGAGGGCCCCCACGAGGCGGAAAACGGTGCGTAAAACCTCCCCGTCGGGATTCCTTCATGACTCGAGGGGGCCTGGGTGCTCGCGGTCTGCGCGTCAACATGGGTCAGCGCGCGTGGATTAGAGGCGGGCCTCTCCTCCTCCTCCTCCTCCTCTCCTCCTCCTCCCCTCCTCCTCCCCCTCTCCTCCTCCTCCTCCTCCTCCTCCTCCTCCTCCTCCTCCTCCTCCTCCTGGCAGGGCCTGGGTCCCTCCCCCGCCCGTTCCTCGCGGACAGGCCAGGTCGCTCTCCGCCGCCGGCATCGTGCCGCACCGCGTGCTCGTCCTGGGCGCGCCCGCGGGCCTCGTCCTCGGCCGCTCCCGCGAGCTCCGCGGGCGCCCGGGGCTGGGAGGGGCGGGCGGGGACCTGGCGCAGCAGGAGTCGGGGCTCCAGGGGCGGGGGGTCAGTTTGGGTCGGGCCCGTCCCTCTGCAGGGGGATATTCAAACGAGTTTTTTGGGAGCATTTGGGGAGTTTTTTACAAGTGGGAGCATTTCGCAAGTCTTTGTTTCATTTTGTGGGGACGATGTTCGGACTGTGTGTGAGCATGTTGGGAGTATGTTGCAAATACGTTTTCACTTTTCGCCCAAAATCCCCCCTGTAGGGGGACAGGCCCGACTCAATGCAAGCGGGGGTCAGCCAGAGCGCCCGATCTTTCAGGCAGTGGCGAATTGCTCTTGCTCGCCTACAGGCCCACCAAAGCATGTTCTGAGAGCCTAGTTGTGGTTTCAGCGAGATGTTCTTAGAGCGCTTCTGGCTGGGACTGTCTTGGTTTAACACGTCGGGCTTATGTTCTAAGAACCTTGCTTTCGTTCTTAGTCCATTTCGGTGTTCTCAGAACATGTCGTGGTAGGTCGGGACGGTCGGTCCCTGCTCAAATCTTGCAGCATCCTGCAGGGCCAGGGTCGCACGGACCCGGGCTTGGGTGCAGAATCCTGCAGGATCTTGCAGGATCCTTCGCGTTGACCCTGGCTTGGGCGCAAGATCTTGCAAGAGTCTGCAAGGCCTGACTGACCCGGGCCTGGGTCCACCTGACTCAGAAGATCCCCGACAGGAGCCGCCGCTGCAGCGGCTGTGCCTGGACGCCTACCGCCAGCGCGCCCCCCTGCTGCGCACGTACTACAGCCCGAAGAAGAAAAAGCGCCACACACACACAAACATACACTTGTGGCGCTCCGCGCGGATTTCTTGGATCCGCGCTGGCCACCCCCCCCCCCCGCGGCGCGCGCTCCGCGCGCCAGTGAGGGGGGTTCCAGCCTAGATCCAAGCAGAAATCTGCGCGGAGCGCCAAACGTTTGCGTCTGTGGCGTTGCTTCCTTCTTCCAACAGCTTCGCGTTCGACAACGTCCGCGACATCGACGCCTCGCGCTCCGCCTGGCCCATCTCCGACCACGCGCTGCGGGAGACGTCCGCGGCCATCACGCAACGCCTGGAGTACTACCGGAGGACCGCGGGGGGCCTGGCCGCGAGGGTCTACGGCATGTGCCTCTCGCGCGAACGGCTCCAGGAGACCGAGTCGGACTTCAAGAACTACTGCCCGGTGACGCTGACCCTGAGCAGCGAGCTGGTGCAGTGCTGCGACCCACGCTGCGTGGTGGAGTACAAGTCCAAGGCGTCCTCCTCCCCCGCCTCCTTCTCCTCCTCCTCCTCCTCCTCCTCCTCTCCTTCTTCTTCTTCTTCTTCTTCTTCTTCTCCTCCTCCTCCTCCTCCTCCTCCTCCTCCTCCTCCTCCTCCTCCTCCTCTCTTTATTCTTATTATTATTCTTATTATTATTATTATTATTATCCTCCTCCTCCTCCTCCTCCTCGTTCTCCGTAGCCATTTTGGCTCAAGTCCGTCCCCTCCGTGGGATCTCGGGCTTGGGCCGAAATGAGTTCCACAGCTATTTCGCCCAAGGCCCCCTGGCCGAGCGCCGCGCCGCCAGCGTTTGAGGCCGTCGGATCCGTATGTCCACGCGATGGCGCCTGCTGCCTCTGCTGCTGACGCTGTTCGTCATGCCGCACCGCAGGAGTGCTGACGCTCTGCATCGCCGCGCATGCCAAGCTCTGTAAGGCGGTCGCGGCCCAGCACGCGTTGGCAAGCGCCAGACTCTTCAACTACACGTTCTCCTTCCACACGTTGCTGCGCCTCCAGCCGCCTCGCGGGTGATTACTCCGCTGGGCACTTGCAGGGGCAACGAGCTGCCGCTGGTCGCGAACTTCTTGCAGCTGATTCGCGGGCGTCCTCCTGACGTTGCCCATGGTCCTGAAGTTCGGCCTCACCGACGCGAAGAGGCAGATGACGCACCAGCCCATGATGATCCTGCTCGTGCTGCTGCCGCCGAGGGCCGCCATCCTCCGCGACACCATTCCGTTCTTCTGCATGTGCAACCCGCTCATGAATCCGAAGTCCGCCGCCCGGAGGGTGGCCTTCCTGACCTCCTGCAAGCTGTTCCCGCTCCCGCCGGCGCTGATGGTGTTCTGCATTCCCGACCGTTCAACGATCCGAAGTCCGCCGACTTGCTGGTGGCCTGCATGACCTACTTCTCGACGCTCTCCCTGCTGGTGCTGGAGACGCTCCTGCTGACGTCGCTGGAGACGGCGCCCCTGATAGTGCTCTGCATGAAGCTGCCGCTGCTGAATCCCGTCCCCGTGCTGTTTGTGTGGCTCTTGCTGCCCTACGCCCCCTTGTACGCGAATGGCAGCGCGTAGCACGGCGTAAGACGCTCCTCCAGAACAGGCCCTTCGTCCGCTGCTTCGACGCGTGGTACGACCTCGTGTTCGAGACTACCCTGTCCACGGAGAGCGACCAGTCCGTCGGGGCGCCGTCCACAGGCCCAGAGTGCAACACGGAATGCCCTATGACGGGCCCTCCGAGTTCCACCCACTCCAGGACATCCAAGGTTGCTGGGACTGGAGAGCCTGACTATCCACAGGAGACTCTGCATGATGTTGCTCGTGCCGCCCCACAGCCAGGAGTGGTTGTCGCTGCTCGTCCCGTCCGTCCCCCAGAAGAGCTGCATGATGTGGCTCGTGCCGTCCTGCCGCCTGGAGTGGCTGACGTGGCTCGTCTCGACCATCCCGAAGCAGCTCTGCTTCCTGCTCGTGCCGTTCCGCCGCCTGGAGTGGCTAGCGCTGCACACCACGACAACCACGAAGAAGCTCTGCATGTTGCTGCACGTGCCGTCCCGCCGCCTGGAGTGGCTGCTGCGGCTCGCCCCGACCATCCCCACGGAGTGGCGCATGATGATGCTCGTGCCGCTTTGCCGCCTCGTGTGGCTTTTGCTGCTCGTCAAGCCATTCCCGAAGAAGCTCTGCATGCTGATGCGCGTGCCGTCCCGCCGCTTGGAGTGGCCGACGCGGATCGTCGTGACCATCCCGACGACGCCCTGCATGACCGGCCAGCTCCTGGCATGCCGTTCCTTCGCCGCTAGGACCTTCTGCAACTACGTGGCTGCAGTACGAATCTTGCGTGCTGTGTCGATGATATGTTGCAACGTGCTGCTGAGCGCCAGCATGATGATCGTGGATTCTCGCCGCTCGGAGTGGCGTCTGAGGCCCCCGCCCGCTTTTGTAGCAATGTGCCCCCTGCCCCGCTCGCCTCTTCCCGCTTGTCGCCCTTGTCTCTGCCTCCCATCCCCGCGTTTCCTGCATTTCAGCGCGCGCACGAATACACATCCGCTCTCCGCGTGTCTGGCCCCGCGCTCCCCGCAGCGCGTGAGTTGCTTGTGCGCCTGAGCACCACCACAGCTCACGTATGGAAGTAGAGGGCGGCGGACTCGGGCGGGACATCTTTCCTCTTCTCGCGTCGTGCCCGCTTGCCCTCGTCTCTTCCTCTTTGGGTACTTGCACTCCTCCTCCTTCCTCTCCTCTTTCGGGAGCAGGGGAGTAGCAGGCCCACGTTCAGAGACGAGAGTGCCGGTCCCGCACAAGGGCACCGAGCAGAATTAGGAGTCTTTGGCCGGCTTTCGCTCAGCGGTTTGCAATGATGCGCCCCGAATTCTAACGCCCCGCATGTGCACAGGCTGTACGCGACATTTCGCTGAACGGCTGTTTCCATTTCGGTAGGGATATCAATCTGCCGTGCCAGCGCCAGATCGAGGCAGCTTCAGGAGCTTTCCACGTTCTGCTGTGAGTTGACGGTCGACCCTTCTGCTTCCATGGCTTCACAGTGAGCTACCTCGACTCCACGGGCCTCCATAGGCCCCTCCCCCAGGGGACATTGCATTGCGACGGGCGTGGTGGTTCTGCCATGAAGAGGCGCAGTCGAAAAGTTGTCATACGGGGTCCCTGCGGGCCCATGGGGCGCTGTGGGGATGCCTTGGGCCACCGCGGCAGGTCTCTGGGGCGTCTTGGGGTGGTCTTCTAGGATCCGTGGGCCGTCCGGAGGCCATTTTGGGTCTGTCGTGGAGTCTTGGGCACTCCTGGGGCCGTCGCATGGCCCTACAGTGCGGTCTGGCAGCCATCCCAGGCAGATAAACATGGGGAGCGAAATGCATTGGAAATTCATGTTTCAATGAGTTTGTTCGGCATTGATTGACAGTGTTTGTATGTCTATGTATAAATATATGTGTGTTTGTATTTTTAGATCTATGTATACACATACACAGTTATATACGTAGCATACAAATTTTATACGTAATCGCTTCGTTCATTCCGCTGGCCCGTATTGCCTCGCCGCTGTCGTTTGTCGGGATGTGCCTCTTGGGGCTCTCTTGGGAGGCCTCTTGGTGGCCTCTTCGGGGGTCGTGTGCGCGCCGTGGGCCGTCTGGAAGCCATCTTGGGTGTCTCGGACCGACCGTTCGACGAGTGCCACTTGGAGCGCTGCCAATTGCCCGAGTGATCTTTGTCAATGCGGTGCTGTTGGGTGGGGGTGTTGATTATCGAAGACGCCTACGGCGAATCACCGCCGCCCCCTGGCCTCGTGGAAGCGTCTTTGTGGCCGACAGCTGGGCTAGACCTTGGCCAAGTTATTGGGCAAGTTGTTCCCCGAGTCGGTTTGGAAAGCCTTCGGGGAACACGTGGGGGAGCAAGAGGCTTGAAATCGCCCATGTGTCCGAGCGCTGTGGCAAGGGCTCTGCCAAACTATCGGACCATGTCTTCCCCCAACCGTTGTGGAAACCTTTCGGGGAACACTTGGGGGAGGATGGCGGGGATTATTAGGAAGAGGAGAAGGAGCAGAAGGATAAGGATAAGGACATGGAGAAGGTACAGGAGAGGAGGAGGATGGGGATGAGTCGGGATGAGGAAGAGGAGGCGGAGGCGGAGGAGGAGGAGGTGGAGTTGGAGGAGGAGGAGGAGGAGGAGGAGGAGGAGGAGCAGGAGGAGGAGGAGGAGGAGGAGGAGGAGGGGGCATCTTGGGAGCCTCTTGGGGGACTCTTAGGGCCTCCTGGGAGCTTCCTAGGAGCCTTTTGGATGCATATTGGGAGCCTCCTTGGGCCTCTTTTGGGTGCCTTTGGGGCTTCTCGGGGGCCTCTTTGGCCGACTCAGGGCATTCCTTGCCCGCCCGACGCCGTCGGAAGCCGTCTTGGGGGCCTCTCTTGGCCGACTTGAAACCTTCTTGGGGGCTCCAGGGCCGTCTTGGAGGCTTCTTGGGCACCTCTTGGGCCGTCTTGGGCCGTCTTGGAGGTTTCTTGGGCGGACTTGGAGGCATCTCCTCCTCTCTTGGGCGGACTTGGAGGCCATCTTGGACCAGCTTGGAGGCCATCTTGGGCCGACGTGGCCGTCTTGGAGGCCATCTTGGCCGTCTTGGAGGCCTCTTGGGGCCCTCTTGGGGCCGTCTTGGGGGCCTCTTGGGCCGTCATGGGGCCATCTTGGAGGCCTCGTGGGCGATCTTGGGGCGATCTTGGGGGCCTCTTGGGCCGTCTTGAGCCGTCGGAATGCCGAGAAGAAGCAAGTCCTCAAATCCTTCAAACACCTAAGGAACATCAATGAGTTTGGCCTCTTCGGGCCTTCCTGGAGGACCTCTCGGAGGCCTCCTGGGCCGTATTGAAAGCCTCTTGGGCCGTCTTGGGCCATGCTGAGGCCATCCTGAGGCTATCTGAGGCCGTCTTGGGTACAACTTGGGCCGTCTTGGAGGCATCTCGGGGCCATCTTAGCCGTCTTGGAGGCCATCTTGGAGACGTCTTGGAGACCATCCTGGGCCATCTTGGCCGTCTTGGATGCCATCTTGGGCCAACTGGAGGAAACAGAGGCACGATGGACGCGTGTTGGGATCCTTTCCGGGTGGCCGGCGGGACGGGCCGAACCCCCAGGGGGAGTTCTTTTGGAAAAAGAACCAAATCCAAAAGCCATATCATCCGGCATCCGTAGCCATTTTGGCTCAAGTCATTTTTGCCCAAGCCCTTTGAGCGTAGGCCAGTTTGGCTACAGAGCATGTCTGACCAAGTTGCTACACGATGTTCACTAGCCCAAAACATACCCGGACCCGGGGTCAGCTGGGGTGAAAAGGGCCGCCCGCTGGAGCGTTTTCGGCCTGACCGCCACCTCGTCTGGGTACGGGTCGGTGCCCGAAACAACCATACATGCCCGGACCTAGCTGGGGTGGTGGTTGGGTCACCCCGTCTAGGTACGGGTATGTATGGTGGTTTCGGGAGCCGACCCGGACCCAGGGGGGGTGATGCCCCGGGGGCCCCTTGCCACCCCGTCTGGGCAAGGGTACGGGTATCTTTCGCGCTCGAGAGATGTGTTTCCTCGTGCGGGTCGCATCTGTGGGATGGCCCCTTGCGATGATGCCGGTAGCGGCTGAATCAGCATTCAAGTCTGCTTACAGCACTAGGGCGCTGCCCGATCTCTTCACACGATTCGCGGAGAGCATGGATATTAATTTTCCGCCTCCGCGAGACGCCGGGGAGGATCCAATCGTCGTCAAAGTCGATATTACCTTCAATCACTTAGTGAGCATAACTCCGACGGAGGAAGCAGTAGAATTGAGTGCGTGGTACCACCTGTATTGGAATGATGAGCGTCTGGTCTACAATGATTCTCAGGTTTTTGGAAGCGGGTGGAATTCCGAAGGCGACTATGTTGCAATACCTCCAAGACTGATCTGGACACCAGATATCGTGCCGTACTACCCTGCAAGAGTAGACTCGGACAGTACATTTGCAAACAATGCGTACGCCTACCTTTTCGACTTAGAGTTTTTGAGGGCGAATGGGTACAATGCTCACTGGGTTCGTCCTGCGAATATTAATTTTCATTGCGACATTGACATGTCAAACTTTCCATGGGATAGTCATGTCTGTGCCTTGATCGTTGGGCCCTGGCATGCGAAGGCATCAAATCATCGTTTCCTGCACGGGAATATGCTGGCCCACGGAGATGAAAGTAATTAAGTTCCGAGGAGTGGGAGGTTCAAGTTTTAAAGATAGAAGATGTGAAGAACGAGTGCAACACTGGCGTGTACGAAGAAGTCCACTTTACGCTGGGCTTCAAACGATACCCCCATTATTTCATGGTGAATATTATTCTGCCGATGCTTCTGATCATGGTTGCGGCTAGCTTAACGCTTTTGCTCCCTATCCAGGACGGGCCGGGGGAGAGAATGGCATTTGCTGCCACACTGTGCCTCACGATCATGGCGACAATGCTCTTCACAGCTCAACTACGGCCTGCCTCGAACACGGATACGTGGATGGATAGATTCCAGGGTTGGTGCCTCTTCTTCACTTTCCTACCACTGCTGGAATCATGTATTGTCACACTGATACAGCATGCGGAAGACATAATCAAATGGATCAACCAAGAGTCACCAGGGGTAGCAGTACCAGCCAGAGTCATTAGAGTCACCTTCAGCATAAAAGGGCATCTTGAGCGTGGATTTGCAAGGCACCTCGATCACTGGTTTGCATATTTGTATCTACTCGCACTCGCCATCGTCATGGGTTTCCTTTATTATGACGTGCCCCGGCGAGACATTTTGACGCTCACAAGTAGCGAGACTGTGATGATTACTCCGTCAATCGCGACGATCGTCCCGCTCGTTTCATTCTTCCTTTTGGTTCTTGTCCTGAAAGTGGCGCGTCGCACCTGTAGAGCCGACAGGGGTCCTCAGGAGGCTTCGTCAATCCAGGACTTTCCAGAGTATGACGGAGGGGCGATCGAGTCCAGCTGCTCTTCTCCAAGGAAGGAGGCACTCCCGAATAATCCGATTCTGAGCCGAACTTTGGGACGCCCTGTTGGCTGGAAGGTTAACAATCTAGGTGATGATGATGATGAGCTGCACGACCGCAAATGCTCTTTGTGATTCAAAGTGTGATCGCTTGGTCATTACAACATGGCCCTCGTAATCTGCTGCGTTCAATCGTTCCTGCGCCCTTTCCGGGCCAGGATGCGCACCGATTCCGTGACATTCACGGTGCGGTGTTTCATCTCCCTTTCTGCCTCCCCTTCCTCCTCCCGCTCCCGCCCTGATCCCCTCCATTCCCTCGTTGGGTACGACTGGTGTCCCAGCCGCATGAATGGAAGTCGGGGTATGCCAGCCCGTCGGTCTTGCCCGCCTCCTCTTCCCTTCTCCTCCTCCTCCTCTGCCTCCCCCTCCCCCGTGCTGCTCCTGCTTCCCGCGGTCTATTTACCGGCAGTTCCTCCCGTGGAGTGCCCGCCTGATTTTCCTCCCTTGGCCAGGCTGCGCACCGATTCCGTAACATTCACAGCCCGGTGCTTCAGTTCCCTTACTCCCTCCTTTTCATGCTTCTCCCACTGCTTTCCATCATCTGCTTCCTTCGCATAGCACGTCCTCTGGCATACCGGCCCATGCGTGTACAATGCTGGGAGCGCAGGTCTCTTAGACCATATTGTTTGACACCATCGCGGCCTTTTTCTCCAAGCCACGGTTCTTCGTGCGGACTCGCCTATTGCAGGCTGGTCTTATCGTCGTTCTGGGGGGTGCTTGGAGCCGCCGTGCGCGGGTGTCTGGAATTGGTGCTGCCCACTGCCAGAAAGAAATAACCCCCCCCCCAAAAAAGCCATATCATCCGGCACGCCAGGCACCCCTTTGATAAATCAAAATAGGGCGGCGGATCGAAGACGCCTACGGCGAATCACCGCCGCCCCCTGCCTTTGTGGAAGCGCCTATGTGGCCGAACGTTGAGGCCAGACCTGCCAAGCTATCGGACCATGTGTTCCCCGAATCGGTTTGGAAAGCCTTCGGGGAACACGTGGGCATCTTGAAGGTCATCTTGGCCGCCTGGAGGCCATTTTGACTCTTCCGGGCCCTCTTGGAGGACGTCTTGGAGGGTTCGTGGGCCGTCTTGGAGGCCATCTTGAGCGTCTTGGAGGCCTCTTGGGCCGTCTGGGGCCTCTTGGGGCCGTCTTGGGCGCCTCTTGGGCCGTTCTGGGGCCGTCTCGGAGGCCTCTTGGGCGATCCTTGGGCGATCTCTGAAAGCTCTTGGGCCGTATCGGGCCGTCGGAAGGCCGAAACGAAGCAAATGTCAAGATCCTTCAAAAACCAACGGAAAATCACTCTTTTCGACCTTTTCTGGCCTTCCTGGAGACCCTCTTGGAGGCCTCTTGGGCCGTCTTGGGCCAGCTGCGAGCCACCTTCGGCCATCTTGGTGGGCTCCTGGCCCGTCTGACGCCGTCGGAAGCCGTTTTGGGGGCCTTTCTGGGCCGACTTGGGGCCCTCTTGGTGTGCTCCAGGGCCGTCTTGGAGGCCATCTTGGGCGTCTTCGAGGCCTCTTGGGCCGTCTTGGTGCCCTCTTGGGGCCGTCTTGGGGGCCTCTTGGGCCGTCACTTGGCCATCTTGGAGGCCTCTTGGGTGATCTTCGGGCAACCTTGGGGGCCTCTTGGGCCTTCTTGGGCCGTCGGAAGGCAGAAAATGTGCAAATGCCGAAATCCTCCAAACACCCAAGGAACATCAATGATCTTGGCCTCTTCGGGTCTTCTGGAGGACCTCTTGGAGGCCTCTTGGGCCGTCTTGAAGGCCTCTTCGTGGCCTCTTGGGCCGTCTTGGGTCAGCTTGAGGCCATCTAAGGCCGTCTTCGGTGCATATAGAGCCGTCTTAGTGGCATCTTGGGGCCATCTTGGCCGTCTTGGAGGCCATCTTTGCCGACTTCGAGACATTTTGGATGTCATCTTGGGCAATCTTGGCCGTCTTCGAGGCCATCGAGGGCGTCTTGGAGGCCTTTTGGGCCGTATTGGGGCCCTCTTGTGGCGGGCCTCTTGGGCCGTCACAGGGCCTTTTTGGAGACCTCTGAGGCGACCTTGGGGGCCTCTTGGGCCGTCTTGGGCCGTCGGAATGCCGAAAATGCGCAAATGCCAAAATCCTTCAAAAACCTAAGGACAACCAATGATCTTGGCCTCTTCGGGCCTTCCTGGAGGACCTCTTGGAGGCCTCTTTGGCACGTCTTGGAGGCCTCCTGGGGGCTCTTGGGCCTGCTAAGGCCGTCTTGGGTGCATCTTGGGCCGTCTTGGAGGCATATTGGGGCCATCTTAGCCGTCTTGGAGGCCATCTTGGCTGGCTTGGGGGCATCTTGGAGGCCATCTTGGGCCATCTTGGCCGTCTTGGAAGCCATCTTGGGCGTCTTCGAGGCCTCTTGGGCCGTCTTGGGGCCGTCTTGGGGACCTCTTGGGCCGTCATGGGGCCATCTTGGAGGCCTCTTGGGCCTTCTTGGGCCGTCGGAAAGCCGAAAATGCGCCAATGCCAAAATCCTCCGAAAACCTAAGGACAACTAATGATTTTGGCCTCTTCGGGCCTTCCTGGAGGACCTCTTGGAGGCCTCTTTGGCCCGTCTTGGAGGCCTCTTGGGAGCCTCTTGGGCCGTTTTGGGCTATCTTGAGGCCATCTTAGGCGGTCTTGGGTGCATCTTGGGCCGTCTTGGAGGCATCTTGGGGCCATCTTAGCTTCCTTGGAGGCCATCTTGGCCGTCTTGGAGGCATCTTGGAGGCCATCTTCGGCCATCTTGAGCGAAAAAGCCGACGAGATTGGGGAATTGAGCGCCTTCCGGGTGGCCGGCGGGACAGGCCGAAGCCCCAGGGGGAGTTCTTATGGAAAAAGAACCAAAACCAAAACCGAGAGGATTAAGCACGCCAGGCACCCCTGTGATGAATCAACAGGGGGCGGCGGATCTATTGGCCTTCGGCCCATCCCGCCACCGAGCCTGGGTGGTGGGTCGGAGGCCTCGTGGATGTTGGTTGGGCTCTCGTGGTAGGCCTCTCGCGGGCCTCTGGGAGGCAGGTTTGAGGCCTCTTGGGGCCCGTGTTGGGGCCTCTTGGGGGCCTCTTGTGACTTCTTGATGTGTCTCTTGGGGGTCCCTCAGGGGCCCCTTGGGGCCTCTTGGGGGCATCTTGGGGCCTCCTATAGACCTCCTGGGGCTGAAGGCCTGACTTTTCGGTTCCTGGCCCCCTTCGAGGCCCTCCCGGGCGCATCTTGGGCCGTCTTGGTGCCCTCTTGGGCCGTCCTGGGGCCCTCTTGGGCTCCTGGGCCCATCTTGGGGGCGTGCTGGGCCGTCTGGGGACGATGTTGGAGGCCTGGGGCAGTTCTGGGCGCTGTGAACCTCCCAAACGTCGCGCATGCGAAACATCTACGTTTTCCGGAGGGGAGGGGACGATTTTTGCTTGTCGGGGCCCTCTTGGAGAGCCTCCTGCTGAGGCTCTCTGGGAGATTTTTCGCGGCCTCTGGGGCCATCTGGATACCATCTTGCGCGTCTTGGAACGATCTTTCGGCGACTCGGGGGCGTCCCGGCGCCCTCTTGGCGCGATCCTGGAGCGCCCTGGGGGAGTCAGCCGGGTATTGCCCAGACATCGCCCGGTCATCGGCTAGGGTACTTGTCGTCCAGGAGTCCCCAGGGGACGCCACACGCGCGCGAACTAGAAATACTGCTAACCTGTTACCTCTTAGCACGCCTCTGGCCCGTTGGGTCGGCGAATCTATGTATACATGTATGTCTATATATACACATATATATACAGATATTATTGTGTATATATACATATATATATATATATATATATATATTACATACAAAGCTATATACGTATCATATAAATAGATTCCCCCCTGGGCTGGCCCAGTTCGCAACCATCCGGCAACACTGTTTGATACCCTCCCGGCCCGCTTTCCAGAGGCGGCCCCGAGAGGCCAAGGGGGCCCCAAGACGGGACAAGAGGGTTCCAGAAAGCGCCCAATAGGGTCAAAGAGGCCTCTCAGACAGCCCAAGAGCGCTCCAAAACGCCAAAGATGGCCTCAAGACGGCCGAAGAGGCCCCAAAGAAGCCCCAAGAGCGCTCCAAGAGGACTCCCAAGAGGGCCCAACGAGACACACATCCGTGATTTTCCTAGTGTTTCTTCCATGTATTTCGCGTTCTCAGGTTATATCAGCATTCGTCGATGGATCGTG